TTTTCCATATATGCTCAAGCACAATTGAAACACTGTTATAAAATATGTATTGAGAATTACAGTGACAAAGTGTTCCTTCAGATTATCAAAATAGACAAAAGAGATCTTGCAAATTATGCCAATTTTAAAAACATAAATCAAATAAACAGTGTATCTTCAGAATATTTTCTGTGATTATCCACATAATTACTATAATTGCCCATTATATTCATAGTATGTTTGTAATATTCTGATCGCTTTTATGTTCCTGAAAATGTCACATTTCTGTTCGTTGTTAACAGTCAACAGATGGAGTTATGTTCTTTGCATCATAAATTATATATCATATCAAAGCAAAAATTCAGTTTCTCATTTCCTAACCTGATTACATATATATATATATATATTTTAAATCTACTTTAAAAGAAATGAATTCTATTTTAAGATTCTAAGTACTGCTTTAGATTGTGGTTTTGCATACATCCTGAAGTTAATATCTCTTTATAAACTTTGCAAAATGGTCTAAATTAGAACCTGATCGAAAAGCCATGTGAGTATATTTATACTGTTAGTTGCTTCCACAGCACACAGAAAAATGAGGTACATCTTGGATCCCCAGTGACAAATTAAATCTCTAGAATACTTTCTATGAATGATTGATCTGAGTAAGGGAGTGGGAATTATTTCTTGGAAGCAAACTCAAAAAAAAAAAAAAAAAAAAAAAAACATTTTTTAGTTGTGGTTTTTGTATCTTCTTTATATATTGGTTCTAAAACAAATAGATTATATTAACTGCACACATGAGGTTTGCTTTACCAAACAAGATTTTTAAAATGTGGTTCTGATTTTTATTACTCAAATATACTGCATATTGAGTATAAGAATATTTTTTAGTGGATAAGTACTCATAGTTACCACATCAACATCTGCTAGGTAGCTGAAATATTAGGTGCCAGCTTTGCATACATTGAACATCTCAAACTTGAAGACATAATCAAATCTTCATAATTTCTTTTTTTACGGAGTTAAATATGCAATTAATCTCTCTACAAAAATTTCTGAGGCAAATCTACTATTTTCTGTGTTTACCTGCATTGTAGCCTTTGCCTATGAAGCATTATGTCTTAATAGCAGAAGTGCCTTTTGTTTTTTTTTTTAGAGCAGTATAGGACACCTAAAACCACAGGAATATGATTAGGTTTTGTAGTTTTTTGTGGGAGGGAGGTCTAATTAAGCAGTTCTCCACTGTTGCTTGCACAGCTGTTAAAAAAGAAAAAAAATAAATTGACGTAGACAAGAGTTATGGAGGCTCAAATAAAGACAAGGTTGCTTAACAGAAGATAAGTTTATTTTTTGAGTCTAAAATCCACAAGAAAAGAGATAGCATCAGAAGAATACAGATACCATAACTTTCTTACTTTGAGTATTTCTTCTTCTGATATGTGTGATAAGATCTTATAATGCCAACTTGATCTTTCAAAGACTAAAATCATTAATGAGTAAGTTCCAAAAGTAGATTCTACTTAGGTAAATCTTCCCGTGATGGAGTGAATAAGATAAAGATATCAGATACTATTATTGTTAACATAATATCAGTCTGTTTCACTAGGATAATAATATTTTCCTTTAAAACAGAGGATTTACCCTGTTCTTTGCATTTGTATTATCTGTATCTGTCACTCTCATCTCTGAAACCAGGGATTTTTAAAACTGTGATAAGAGAATTATGACTGCTCTGTAATGTCTAAATAAATAAAATCACTACCTAACATTTTCTGAGCGTTCATATAATTCTCAGCTTAAATGCAACTCTTAGGAAAACAAAAAAAAAAAAAAATTTGGTGATTTTTTTCTGTTATTTCATAACAGACTACTTTATTTTTACTTTCATGCTTTTGAAAAAAAGAGAAAATCATTTGCCAAAAAAGCCTAAACTGGAATTATGCCCTGTTCAGTAAAGCTGCATAAATCCTTCTTTTTACAGTCCTTGACAGTCCTTGTAGTGGGTCAAGCACAGTGCTTCAACTGTAGTCCAGTAAGCTCATGGGTCATGCTCTGTCATTGCTTGCATTCCTAGCTTCTCAAGGTAGTTACAGCTACTCATATGCACAAGAAAACTTGACCTGATTCACTATGTTTGGTTCCCTATCACACAAGTACATATATCTGCAACAGTTCTTTTAGGAGCAGTGAGAAGAAGTTATCTACTTTCCACTGTAACTCCATGTGAAATTGTGTCCTGCAGGGCTTCCAAAATGGATTGGTGATATCAAGGCAAAGGCTGTCCTATAAAATATTTTGTCATAGGTATTTTAGCATTTTCACATTTAATGTGATTAATTTTATCTGAACAATCTGCTGGAACAATGGTGGAAAGGACAGTAGCTTTCTAACTATGCTATGCAAATTCTATTCAGTAAAATCTATGACTAAATGACAAAGTTGTAATCATCTAATGAATTATCTACATGATAATTGCTACTATTAGCAAAGGATAGATTAAGAAAAAATCTACCATGGCTATATTTAATGAGCTGTTTATGGTTATTTAGTGCTACATCAATCAGATGGACTGTGTATAAGATACTTTTCCATTTATGTTTTTTTTTAGCCTGAAGAATAATCACTTATGCAACAATGTAGACTAACCATTCCACGTATCTGTCATGACAGACAAAATGTACTGATTTAAACCCCACCCTCTGAAATAAGTGTCACATCTGGAGTTCAGCAGTATAGCAGATGATTATCAATCCAAGATTCAGATAACCAAAACTCCATACCAGTTCTTTCAAAATACAGGCATTTATTATCTTGTGAATGGATATTCATGATTTGTATACCATTGGTGTGAGTAGCAATTTCTTCCATAGAAGCAAACAGCTCTCCATTCAGAATTTCCAATCTAGTACTGAGAACAGTAGCGAGGGTCAGATTCCTTCTTGATTTGACAATCTTTGTAGAATTACTGTAGAATAAATGACTCTCAATTACAAACTAAAAGGAAATAAACGTATAGAGGAGCTGTGTTAACACACTGTAGTATGTATTGATGCAGTGTGAAAGACAGATTTCCCTGAAGTCAGTTGGAATTTTGCTACTGAGTTCCACATTGCCAACGTTTCAGTGTCAGTGTACACACTTTGGTTATTTTTGCCATGGATAATGTACAGTTCATCTGCTTTCCTATCCCTACCCACTCATTTTCCTCTCTTCCTACTCTCCCTCCCTCCTCACCTCTCTTTGGTTCCTGTTCTGTATCTGCTGCATCTGCCAGGCAGTTAAATTTTAAAATAGCTTCTTCCCTTTGAAGTGCTAATGCCAGCACTGCTATTTCTGTAGTAAGTAACTCCACCGACTGTTTGCTTTTACTCTGTATGTATTTGTATGCGCATATGTATGTGTTTTGTAAGATAGAAAAATATATATATATATATATCCTAACTAAGTTGTCTAAATAAAAGTTAAATCCCAACTGCTCCACCTCAGGCTGAGATCCTGTCAGATCTCACAGGCTAAGCGGGTCAAACTTAGTGAGTAATTAGGTAGAAAACCTCTGAAATAAAGCCAGGTGCTGTATGAGTGGCATTGGAGATTCTGTAGCTGCTGCTATTTTCAGTAAGTGGTAAACCACTGCTTATGTTGTTCCTTCTTCATTCAGTCCGTAAGTGGCTGGCTATTAAACATGACAAGTCTGTATGTAGCTTGTTACTGAAAATCTTTATACTGCTTATTGCCAGAAGGTAGGAGGATGTTCTTGGACAAAGGACCACATTGTACAAACTCTCCTTTTATAGTCTTTAGCCATCTGTTAGTGGCTGGGACAGGAAATTAGATAGATACTATACGTTGGAGATAGAGTACTGGACCTTTGATCAGATCCTGTATGGTATTCATGTGTTTTCTTAATAGCCTGAACTGTTTTGTACATTGAGCACTTAAGAAATTATTTTTGTTGTCTCCATGATGGTTCTTTCTGCTCTTCAGTAAAATACAGAATCACAGAATCACAAGATTGGAAACGACCTGCAAGATCATCCAGTCCAACCACCCTCCCATTCCTATTAGTACCACAAGCTACTAAACCATCTCTCATAGCTCCTCATCCAGGCACCTCTTGAACACTGCCAGGGACGGCGACTCCACCACTTCCCTGGGCAGCCATTCCAGTACCTGACCACTCTCTGAGATAAAAAGTTTTCCCTAATGTCCAACCTAAACCTCCTCTGGTATAACTTCTGGCCGTTTCCTCGGGTCCTACTATTTGCCTGGGAGAAGAGGCCAGACCCTTTTGCACCACAACCTCCCTTCAGGAAGTTATACAGTGCAATGAGGTCTTCCCTGAGCCTCCTCTTCTCCAGGCTGAACAATCCCAGCTCCCTCAGCCGCTCCTCATAAGACTTGTGCTCCAGACCCTTCACCAGTTTCGTTGCCCTTCTCTGGACACACTCCAGGGCCTCAATGTCTTTCTTGTACTGAGGGGCCCAAAACTGAACACAGTACTCGAGGTGCGGCCTCACCAGTGCTGAGTAGAGGGGGATGATCACCTCCCTGCTCCTGCTGGCCACACTATTTCTAATGCAGGCCAGGATGCTGTTGGCCCTCTTGGCCACCTGGGCACACTGTCGGCTCATGTTCAGCCGAGCATCAACCAACACCCCCAGGTCACTTTCCTCTTCAGAGTCATCCAACCACTCATCCCCAAGCCTGTAACACTGCATGGGGTTGTTGTGGCCAAAGTGCAGGACCCGATACTTGGCCCTGTTAAACCTCATTCCATTCACCTCAGCCCAGTGATCCAGCTTATCTAGATCCCTCTGCAGGGCCTCCCTGCCCTCAGGCAGGTCGACACCACCTCCCAACTTGGTGTCATCTGCAAACTTACTCAGGGTACACTCAATCCCTTCATCTAAGTCATCAATGAAGATATTAAACAGGATGGGCCCCAGTACCGACCCCTGGGGGACACCACTTGAAACAGGTCTCCAGCTAAACTTCACTCCATTGACCACCACCCCGTTGAGCACGGCCCTCCAGCCAGTTCCTTATCCAACGATAATACCCAACATATATGTATGTTTATTCTAGACATGTATACTTAGCATATTTACAGTTATCATGAGATATCCTGATGTTGCCTTTATACAATATGATACACAGTTATGTAGCAAAATTAAAATTCATTCTACACCTGCGTGTTATCCTTAAAGAACTCTGGAGTTCTTACTGATACCAAGAAATTTAAAAAGCTCAGAGGTGTCCATTTTTAAATATTTATGTTTCATTCTTTTACACCGCTTATGTTTCATCCATGAATGTATTGTATCTTCCATGTAAGTCATTTAATTTACTTCCAGGTGTAGGAAAAAGAAACACTGATTAATAATGAAGTCACCAGTCCTGTGTTCACTGAGAAAATAATTTGTATTCTCCAATTCATCTTCCAGGTTTGCTTTGGAAAGGATAATCTAAGAAAACAATTTCCTGGTTGGCATATATTAGGAGTGTACTCATACTTTAGTGAGTTGAACAGTGGGACAAAGTGGGCTTGAACCTTTGCAAGGCTATTTCTTTGAGTTCATTCTATTTGTTTTAAAGAAAATATCAAATCCTCTTTCCCAGACCAAATTGACTGAATATTCCTAAACTGCCTGCTCCAAGCCACAGTCAGCCCACTACTCCACAGACTTCTTCTCTAAGCTTTTTTCAGGATTCCAGGGGGAAATTCAAAAAAATTCCTGTCCATATTCTCTCTCTCTTTTTTTTTTTTCCCTAGACTTCCTGGGGCAAGAGGTGGGGGGAGGCCGTAGGTATATTACAGAGGTTACAGGCACCTAAATCTTCATAAAAATAGATGGGAATTAAAAATTTATTCCACTGTATGGCAATGTCCTTTTGCTATGGCAAGTCTTTGGGGGTATTTGAGCAATAGCTAGATATATCAGTTTCAGCTTCCAAAACATAAGTAATTCTTATGAACACCTTAAAGGAGTTGTTCCTTTGTAAGCAGGACATGGGAATTCCATAGATCAATTAATAACTGTATGGATATGTAAGCAGGAGATTTATCACTTTAATAACAGCATGTATATTCACATCTGAGATCTATCACTGTGTCACACAGCTTTATTGCAGCCAAAGGCTGGTTAAGATTTTGAGGGGTTGTAGAATAGTCCTGCTAGAAGGACGACCTATTAACAGAGATTAATCTTTCTTCAGCAGCATAAAAAGTCCAGTTTCTTTGAGTAAAGCAGTAATTATACATATTGAGAAAGCTTTGTCTTTCAGAGATCCAAACCATGTCATTCTGTACCAGCAGTACAAAACATATCTAGGTTTCTCTCTTAGGTACTTGTTCTTTGGCTTTAATTTGATGTTAGCTTTTTTTATATATTAGCTGTGTCTGCATGTTTATGTCCTACATATATAGCCTTAATTTTTTTCACTTGTATTTATTTCCTGCTTAAAACAGCAAAAACACTCCACCCACTTCTGAACTGGATTTTTCAAGCTTTTGTTTTGCACAGAGACATGTAATTGTGTTTGGGGTTTAGAGACTACAGTCATTCCAGCCACTTGTTTCTGCAAAGGAGCATAATGACTTCTTACATCTATCTTAAATGAAGAGAGACAGCTATACCCCAGAGCTGCAGTGAGGTTTATCTGACCCATAATTTTACAGCATTATAAACCACACTTCAGCTGAAACTTCAGGGCTAGCAAAACAATAAAGATCTTGGTTCAGCACTGCGATATAGTGGGTTTTCCTCCTGGTGATGTCATTTCTGTTGCTCTAGAGGTAGGAAATGCATTGAGATTTTTGAAAGGCTTTTGCTCTTTACTCTTTGGCTAATTGAGCAGCTTCAGGAGGATGTTCAGAGTTTGTATACTATATGCACCAGACTTGTATGCACACTGATTAAGCTACATACTCAGGTTGCGTACAGATAGTTTTGGAATGTGGGTGAGAAAAGTACAAATGCAATTTTAGTTACAATCTGCTGAGTCAGTAGAATGCCCAGCTCAGCTGGACTAGGAATTTGGAATGATGTCTATTGGATCATCTTGGCACTGGAACAGACTGCCCAGAGAAGTTATGGATGCCCCTCCCCTGGAGGCACTCAAGGTCAGGTGGGGCCCTGGACCCTAATTCAGTGGATTGCAATCAGTCCATGGCAGGGGAGTTGGAATTGGATGGGCTTTGAGGTCCCTATCAACCTATGCCATTCTATGATCTTAAACTTTGCTGTGACTATTCATTAACCTTTCCTATTATCTGTGTTTTCTTTCATTTGCTCATTGCATCTGGTGATACAAACTAGAGCTGCACAATGGCCATGAGTGAGAATGTTTAATACCAAGGGCAATTTTAAAAAACAAAAACAGAGTATATAGCAAAGTATTTCTGCTTCAAAAATTAACTATGTTCATCTGGAATGCCCTCAGTAATCCTTCTGCAATAGAATTACCTTATTTTCTTTAAAAAACCTTTGGTCATCTCAGAAAACTATTGAAGTAGTCTCAGTAACTTACTTACGCCTTATCACTTTGCTATTAATATGGATTTCTAACAGTCTGTGAGGAAAAAGTCATTTCATGGTAATTAAGAGGTCAGGAATTACAATTCTTAATTAAAAAATAAACATCAACTCTTTCTAAGATTGGTATTGCATATTCTAGGCCCTGAGGCCTTCATAAGATAAATTCCATGCAAGTTTTATGCAAATTGAAATCCACGTTTGTCTAGGTAATTTCACTTTGTTATAAAGCTGCTACAAAAATGTCTTTTGAGAACATGGAAGCACTGAGTCAAATTCACTCTTAATGAACTCTAGTGAGTGGAGTACAGAAAGACAGATTTGCACCGTTATTTTTCAGATGTTTAATTCACTTTAAAATTAATTGAAAATCAAGACAAAAGACACCCTTTATGACTTGAGTATTAGTCAGTGCTTCAGACTGAAACAAATAATCATGGTTCAACTGAAACCACAGTTTCTGCGTAGCGGTCAGAATCAGTCATAAATCAGAGCAATGTCTTGAACCTTAGTGGATGAATAATGGTGACCAGACTTTGAATGTTCAGTCAGAAATCAAGCAAATGTTATATGGCTTTCAGGCCACGAATACGTCACATAACTGTACTACCATCATCTGCTTTAATTTCATCAAATCAGTATTAATCCTATCATGACATAATCTTCCTTCAAGTAATTCTTTTCCAGAAGAAATCTAGAAAACTTTGGATTTTATTATTTAATAAACCACTATTATTAGGAACTTTATGTGAAATACACTGAATCCCTAGAGAAATGAAATCCTCAGTGAATGAAATCCTACCATGTTGAAGGAAATAGCAAAATTTCTTTGATTTTTATGTGATCAAGATTTAATCTAAAGTCTTTTGCAGAAGTGTGCCAAGAACAAATGTCTAGATATGACAGCACTGAAACTCAAAGTGATCCACAATGTTAACACCAAAATAACTTGAAATATTTCCAATGCTTCTTTGTCCAAACAAATTCATGTACTGCAGGAACTATGCATCCGTATGTGATAAATCTGTCCCTCTTATAATACCAGCAAGCATCAGGAAGGATGTTAAGCATCTCTTAGAATCACAGAGTTATATTTGAATAAATAAAAACAATAGAATGTTTCCAGGCTTTGAAATTTTGAATAGTTTTATAGGTACATAGCTCCACAGAATATCACTGCACTGACTCATTACTGCAATTGTCCATGCAATTGAATTCTGTGATTAGGAATCTGGAGAATTTCCAAAAATGCTTGGAGTAGGTGAAAAGCACTGAAAATAGGTCCTCTCTCTTCCCAAATTAGCCACGTTGATTTTATTCTGAATCATGGCCTTAAGCCATTTGTAAACAAGAGATCTTACACAGAAGATACACTTGGATTTTCACTTGGAATTCTTGGAACATGGGAATGCTGAGTTATGGTTTGAAGCAGTGGTTGAGAACCTGGTGGGAAGGCAGGACCAATGCATGGAAGCTCAGGTGCGTGCAATGTACCTGAGTGACCAGAAGGAGTGGAGTCAGGAGCCACTCCTTCCCAGACCTCATTTAAGGGTTGGCAGTGGAAGTGAAAGCAACCTGCTGGAGATCTCCATGTATCTGAGGCCTTCTGAAGGTAAGCACCTTCTTTCCTTTGTTTCTCTGTGAATGGCTGCTGCATTTGGATGCATGGTCTCTTCCTGGAGCCTAGGATTTCACCATCCTGCTGTCATTGCTGTACTTTCCATCACATTACAGTGTTACATATAGTGTTACAGATAGTCATACAGGTTCTTCAACTCTACTTTTTAGTTATGCTGCACTTTTATCCCTCTCATACAAACATATTGATAACCCATCTGCTACCTCACAGAACTGTGGGGGTTGGAAGGGGCGTCAAGAGATCGTTGAGACAAACTCCCTGCTTAAAAAAGTTTCCCTGCAATAGGTCACATTCGTAGGTGTCCAAAATGGGTCTTGCATATACTTACAGGAAGAGACTCCACAGCCTCTATGGGTGGCCTCTTCTAATGCTCCATCATCCTTACTGTAAAGTTGTTCTTCGTGTTCATCTGGAATTTCCTATGTTCAAGTTTTAGGCCGTTTCTATTTCTTCTTGTCCTATCAAATTAAATACCTCATTAAATACCTGTGCTTTTTCCGGTTTAATACTAGATGGCTGGAAGCAGGCATCTTTATACTGGTAAATATTTAAATGGAAGAGATTAAGACTGGTATCAAAATTTGCATGATTTCTCTTACTAAGAAAGTGCTGTGTCAAGTAACAGGGTAACTTTGTTTGATTTTAAAAGTTAAAATTCAATATCAGTTTTACCTATGAACATAGGTTCATAACTTACAGTATATATGGCTTATAATATGTGGGAAGCCTGTGAATTAATGCTGTGAGAGTTCAGAATTGTGAGGAAAATAAGAAACATTTGAAAAAGAAGGCAATTAATTTTTTTCTCTACAGGATGCAACAAATATCATAAAGAAAAAGAAAAATCAGCTGTAATTCTCAAGTGTTATTGTACCAAATGTGTAGTGTAACTGTAATCATTCAAGTATGAAACCCAGAGATTTTAGCCCTGCTATCAGTACAAATCACAATGCAACCTCAGCTGTGGAGTTGCAAGTAATTACTCTTGTTACTTGTATACAAAATCTACAGGATAATGGAAAAGAAAAACAACAAAAAACATCTCATTTTCCTTTCCTCACACAGCTTGAATGATTATCTAATGAAGGATTTGTGACAATTTGGGGGACCTCTCTAAATGCAGCTTCTAAATTCTGTTTGATGCTGAGGAATCTCTATATATAGCTGTGTCAGGTTGAAAATACTTGCTTCCACAAGAGGTGATGGGAGAAATTTTTGCTCCTGGCACATGATCAAGAAAGAATTGGTGATCTACTCAAATGGAATCATTTGAAGCATGCAGATGCTAACAGGTAGGCAAACTTGGTTTGTGGACGAGGTAAGGAAGTAATAAATAGGTGATGAACCACCTGTTCTACACGAACTTAATTGCCTGATTATGGAGCTGTCTAGGAAGACATGAGGCTGGAAGAAGTGTTTCTTGCTTGGTGTTGTACGTTATGTATAACTAGTAGTATTACAGGAGCAGCTGGCCATGTAAGACTTTAATGTGTTTATAGAGTGGAAAAACAGGAATGTCAATATGTTTCTTGTAGATCTTTGCTTAACATCTATCCCAAAAACCTTAAAATCAAAGCTATTGCTTATTTATTCCTGCTGTGGACTAACTCTAGGTCCAGTGTGCCCCAAGTTTAAACAAATCTATGTGAAAGAACTCAGAAAGCCCCTTGCTCAGCCAACTGGTGCTGGGTAACCAGGAGAGGAGTCAGCGGTGCTGCAGAGCTGGAGCAGCAGGGGATTGCGTACAGAGGGCTGCTTCTTGCAACTGGTCGGTCGCTTGTCTGCCCTGCGCCGGGGGGTTTGGGCTACTTGTAGCCCGCTCCTGATGAAGTGATGGCGGCCGCACAGAGGTTAAGTGGCCTTTTTGCCCTCAGTGTTCTTGCGTCGCCCGTCTCTCCTTGGCAGGGGGCAGCTCGGGGATGTCGCGGCCGCCCTCCGCGCCTGGGCGTCTGCCTGGCTGCGGGCACAGTGAGCCCGTCACCGCTGCTGTACCCCCGAGAGGTGAGGGATCTCCCCGGGAACCTGCGGCGCGCTGCCTGTAACCCGACACAGCGTTGAGTCTCCGCTGCGCGCGGGCTGAGGCACGCGAGCCGCGGCCGCTAAGAGCAGACGGTGCTACGAGCGGGCGGCTCCTGAATGCGGCGGGCCACCGGCAGCTTCCCCCCGGGCAGCGGGGGCTGAACTCCGGGCGAAAAGAGCCGCGCGCTCCCACCCCCTCCCAGCTCCGCTCCTTTCGGCGTGCCTCCTCCTCTGGTCACCGGACTGATGAATTAATCATGATGTGGCTGCTGTTAATGCATTTATGCGGAGCGGGCTGTGCCGCCGGATCGCGGCGTAGCGGGGTGAGGGAGTGAGGAGAGCTCTGCCAGCCGTGCGGAGTCGAGGCAGCGGCCGCAGCCGCAGAGCTCTCCATGGCTTCGGAGGAGGTAATGGGAGTCGGGACTCGCCCCCTCTTTCCCCGGCGTTCGGGGAAGGGGCAGGGCTGCGGGTGGGGGCGCGGTGCTGGCCGGGAGGGAGCAGAAAGCGTGCGGTACCGCGGAGAACGTTTCCCCCGCTATGTAGCGCTCTGTCGGCGCAACTGCGAGAGCCGGGCTCACTTTTGTCACTGCTGATGCTGTCAAAAACGCTGTGGCTTCAGCGGTAACGACGCGGAGCTCCCTCCCTCCGGCAGCCCGCCGGGTCACCGCTCCGAGCGAGACGTTAACTGCTGGTAATCCATTAGCTTCGTGCTCCCCGCTTGCGCGAGAGTGATGAAGACTCGCTAATTAATTTACATGCGAGGAAATTATCTCCGAGGAAGGAGAAATACCCCCTTGCACCTGCTCCGTCGAGACTTGCCATCTGAATCTGGAGGAGAGCTATAAATCATGTAAAGTGTTGGCGGTGGAGTCGGCTTCTGAGAGCTGTAGGATTATGTATCCAAATGCTGAATTTATATTTCCCACTAGGAAAAGACTGACGCTCAGGTCAGATAAAAGCTACATCATTTCATTTAAAGCCAAACTGTACTTGTTTATTGTAATTCTAAGGTGGATTTTCCTTTGGAAAGTACTGTCAGAACATGTAATGATTTACACATTACAGCCTGAGATCTCTGGCAGACTTTGGAAGTGGCTGGCAGTGTGAGGATGATGTTTTAGATTATTTTTGCTTTACATGGGTAGACTTAGAATAGCTAGGCTGCTATGTTTTACTTTTAGCTTATGGTTTGTACAAAATTCTGGCATGCAGAAGAGAGAAAACTTGGACTGGGGAGACAACAACTTACATTGAGAGTGCTGACTTTCTCAACTACAGCAGCCAGAATCTGTGTGATGTCTGCTTTGATTATTTCCATCCTTTGAGAAAATGGTTAAAACATGATAAGCTGCTTCCAAGAGTTCTGCTTACTGCCTCTGAGCCAGTACCAGAACAGCTCTTGGCACTTGTCTGTTAGAGGAGCTGAATTGAGGAGAACTACTGTTCAGTAGGAATCTTGGTGTTAAGCATACTTATTGTTGAGGCAAGTGTTTCTTTTGTAAATCAGAAAATGGGGTTTTCAGAGTGATGAGATCATGATTTCATATTGCAAGATTTATTAATAATTTAGTTTCATGGCACAAGTGAATTTTGCAGTGTTCGGATAGTTTTGTTGCTGGGAAAACTAGACTGAGGCTTTGTAATTTCTGAGCTAATTTAAATTGGGGTTAATTACTTTGATATCTTAGCATATTTTTGATAAAAACATTTGCTGTTTACAGTATTGTGTTCTATTGTTCTGTAAAAGTACTGCTTTCTAATTAAAAAAATACTACATGTTGTCAGTGGAGACTGTAGATTGCATTAAGTCATGTCGTCAGAGCGAGGGTAGGAGGTGGCACATGTGATTTGCCAGTTTCATCAGTTGTAGTCTTATTGTAGAAGAGTTTGAAGGCATGTGGGAGAAAGAGCTTAACTAAGAAGATAACCTATTACTAACCCAGAAATCTAAGAGATAAGACAGAACATATGAGCTAAGCTAACTGCATATTTTGAAAACTAGGCTGTTTGCAGTTGTCCTGCTATGCTTTAGAGCTATAGAATAAGAGAACAAAAAATAAGTACAAGTTTAGGAGAGTAGTGAGAGAGGAATATGGACTCTTGCTGTCAATTCCATTTACTCCAGTACTGCATGCTGTTATTGAACTAAGTCACATATATATCACTTTATATCATTTAAGGTGGAATTCTCTGTCCAGTCCATAACAAAGAAAGCAAAAAAGATTCTGTTGATGATGATGCTAGAAATCAAATGACAGACAGTAGAAGTGGAGTTCACTGGCTTTATTCTTGAACTTGAAACAAGAGTGCAATCTGTTTTCTTTTCTAATTTTTCTAACTGGAGATGATGTTGTGATCTCCTTAAAGCATAGAAAGTGCTGCTCATTTACTGGTCTGAGATATAACTGAAATAAAAATATCTTTGCTCTGTTTAATTGGCCACGCTGCTTTGGCTCTTAGTTTACACGTGGATAATGCCAAAGTTCTAAAAAAAACTAGGGGTTTGAACAACTTCTGTCATTGCTTAAGTTCCAGTCTTGTATAGATTTGAGGCAAAATTAATGTTGAGCTACGCAAGTGTGGTTCAAGTTACAGTGTACACAGTGTCATGACTGTGTTTGATACAATGCGTTGTGGGTATGGGCAGTTCAGTGAGCAGACTTGCTTGCCTTTTCTACATCTGCAACAGGTTGAGCATGTTTTTCTGTCATGGAAATGCTGCACACTTATTTATAGATGTAAGCAGAGCAGAGGTTGCTGACTGTAGCCCTGCTTGATATTCTCTTAATGGTATCCAAATAACTTTTTGGCAACTGGTCCATACCTACAGTCATGTGAATACGTTCTGTAGCTATTTTTGGATGACACACTGCTCTTGTCATAAGAAAATTTCTGAGTGAGTCATTCAGTGATTACCAATGAATTGTGTATATTGTGCAGGGGGACAGTTAGCT